AGATGTTTAATCAGGAGCAAAATACAGGCGTGATTTATGGATCCGAGATGTACTGATACAGATCATATTGAAACAACCTTATTTCTCCCTCTGGCCTCTCTCTCATGGTTTCTCTCACATGGTTTCTCTCTCATGGTTTCTCTCTTTCTCCCTCTCTGGTCTGTCTCTCTCTCTCTCCCTCTCTGGTCTCTCTCTCTCTTTCTCCCTCTCTGGTCTCTCTCTCTCTTTCTCCCTCTCTGGTCTCTCCCTCTCTGGTCTCTCTCTCTCTCTCTTTCTCCCTCTCTGGTCTCTCTTTCTCCCTCTCTGGTCTCTCTCTCTCTCCCTCTCTGGTCTCTCCCTCTCTGGTCTCTCTCTCTCTCTCTTTCTCCCTCTCTGGTCTCTCCCTCTCTGGTCTCTCTCTTTCTCCCTCTCTGGCCTCCCTCTTTCTCCCTCTCTGGTCGGTCTCTTTCTCCCTCTCTGGCCTCTCTCTCTCTCCCTCTCTGGCCTCGGTCTCTCTCCGGTCTCTCTCCGGTCTCTCTCCGGTCTCTCTCCGGTCTCTCTCCGGTCTCTCTCCGGTCTCTCTCCGGTCTCTCTCCGGTCTCTCTCTGGTCTCTCTCCGGTCTCTCTCCGGTCTCTCTCCGGTCTCTCTCCGGTCTCTCTCCGGTCTCTCTCCGGTCTCTCTCCGGTCTCTCTCCGGTCTCTCTCCGGTCTCTCTCCGGTCTCTCTCACTCACAGAACCAACAATCGAACTTTTAAAAGTTAAACCTTAGCACTTGTGGTGAATTCTCCAAGTTTTGGGCGACACACAATGACCCACATTTGTCACAGACTCTTTTCAGACGATGGGTTAGCATTACAAAACACGCCGCTCTCCTCTGACCGCCATTACAGTCTGCTTCTCAGATCAATAGTGCGGCTGCTTACAGTGCGAAGGCCCGGTAACAACATGAGGACGTGTATCGATTATGAGGCCAGTAAAGATGTAATAAGTTGCGTCACGGCTGTAAAGGGACTGGGGCAGCGGAATAAGCCTCATTATTCTAGCATTTTACTAAAAAGTCCCAAACGGAGAGCTCCACCCAGATGTGCGCCCGCAGACACAGCAGCTGTTATTAAAGCTGGTTAATGAAACAGCAATTAATCAAGTGCAAATCACGCAAGAGCATTTTTATTTGAAAAGGCAGAACGAGGGAGAAAGACTTTAGAATCTAAAGAGGAGGGGAAAAATGTATATTTCCCAAAACATCTGAAAAAAATTTTTAGAAATCTTGCAGAAATCTTGCATTGCTCCATAACAGGTAGGGTTGAATTTAGGGGAATAACCAGGAATTAACCGGGAATATTCCAAATTGAAGGTAGGCTCTTCAAGGGAACTTTAATATATTTGGGGAAAGTACATTTTAGCCTAATCTTGACTGAAACAAACTTTACAAACACACATGATGCTTAGATATGATGCAATTTTATTAACACAACGATGCATTTCCAGTTGTGAAATATCTCCAAAATTCCCAAGCTTAAGTTCAAATTTTGGTGAATCTTTCTGGAAATGACACCCTTTGCAACTCTAATATCAGGTAATTCCAAATGTGGCCCTTTGTTGTTTTGTGTAGATTTCATAAAGACAAGTTCACAGTGTCACCCAGCCAACTTCAGCTCTGGAGATATGTGCCTGCAATACTTAAGTATGACACAAAATTCCATTAATGGCATTAACACTGGGACACTTGGAAACTATAACTCCCATGGCCGTCATTTTGACTGTTTCTAGTCAAATCATTCAAGTATTCTAAAAACTCCCCCAAACATGAGTTTTCCATCAGTTTTACTACAATTTATCATTATTTACTTTTAATACATGTTAAAACTGGTTAAAAACTTGAATGTCTCACTCTTTCTCTCACACTCTCGCGCGCACACTCTCGCGCGCACACTCTCGCGCGCACACTCTCGCGCGCACACTCTCGCGCGCACACTCTCGCGCGCACACTCTCGCGCGCACACTCTCGCGCGCACACTCTTGCGCGCACACTCTCGCACACACTCTCGCACACACTCTCGCACACACTCTCGCACACACACACTCACACACTCTCACACACACCCTCAATACAAATGTGTCTTTCCAGGAGCCATCTTTTGTCATTGACACACACACTTTTGAAACTTGAGCAAGTGTAAGCAAAGATTAAAAGTGTATAATATTGTGTTTCTATCTGTGCGGTGTTGTGCGACGCTCACTGGGAAACGGGTCAAAATGAATGAAAAACAAAGGCTTTCACCGTAGCTTCAGGGTGAACTGCAGCCGCTGGAGTGGTGTCCTGTATCCTTGCGGCTCTATCTATCCTTGGATTTGTTTTACTCAAACGATATGCACATAATCTGCAGACTCAACAACTTTCTGCTGCCCATCACCACAAGCTAACCACTCAGCACGGTGGGTGAGAGGTAAGCAGTCGCGGGTTCGAATCACAGTCAGAACAGGGACTTTGAGTGTCTGCGTAAGGTTTCCTCCAGGTGCTACGGCTTCCCCTACCATTATAAACACATGTACAATAGGTAAAATCCTCCAGCTCCAGTCCTGACCAAGACAATCTGGAAATGGGTCCAATGTTCAACTCCTCTGCTCCTAACCCTTAAAGATGCAGTCATCATGCAGTTTTTATCCAGACTCATTTTTTTTAAATATTGTGGGAAAACTTCCCTAAACCCTAAAAGTATCAAGTTATCATGTTGTTTCAAATAGTAATGGAGTTGACCAGATGCCTATAGTCTACAAAAATTAATAAAACATATTTTGGAGCGGACCGATAATAATAAACCAATGGGATTCGTTCATCACCAAAGAGCCAATGGGATGCCTTCACCCCCTTCCTGTTTCTCGCGAGTGCACCTGAGTTATCGGATTTTCTAAAACCTTAAAAGGCTGAACAGAAAATTCCAATTTCACGTTTGCTTCACTCTCCTTGTTGGGACAAAGAAAAGAAAATGCTGGATGTTTGGTTTGGTGGAGGGGGAGGGGAGGGGGGAGTGGTTTTGAGTTGGTGCTACGGCTAAGCTAACAACACTGCTAACTGCACCGTTAAGTGGCATTGCAGGTTGGGTCCAATGCAGAGGACACATTTCCCTACAGGACAATAAAGTACTTTTTTTGTTTAGGCAGAAACACTGAAAGCTCTTACATGGGAGGAGAGAGACTCAGATCATTAAATTAAATTCAATGTATTTGTGTATAGCCCTAGTATGTATGAAAGATCAAAGAATCAAACCGTTCACATAGAAGCCTTAAATGTCCCGGATCATCAGAGCTGTCCGAGACCAATTTAAATCGTAAAATACAAGCCCAGTCAAGTCGATTTACCAAAAAGTTGAACGGCAGGTGATGATTGGAAGAGCTACTTTCGAGCAACAGAAATGCCCGAGAAATATTCTTTTTTGCAGTTGTAATAAACCTTTAGTCTATGTAATATCTGCGGAAAATCATGAACAACACACACACACACATGTATAACCCTACATTAGTGAACACAATGGAAAATGTGTAGTCATTTAGGCTCATGTGTCAAGTTCCTGAATCTTTGGGGAGCTACCTGGAAGGGGTTGGCTAGCTACTGTTAGCCCCCAAGCTACAGGTTGACCTCTGTAGACCACTGTTGTAAGCAGAAGTGGTCGGGATGTTTCCCTAAAATCTAATCACATAAATCAACCACATTTAGTACAGTGTCTTTTGTTTTTATCCAGCAATTTAAGTCTTGACACCTTCACGGATGCCGGATCTTAGTCGTCCAACATTAGTAACCTTTAAACAAACCAACCCTGGACAAACAGAGCAAAACAAACAGCCTGTGTCACTCATAATGGTTCAATAGTTTCCCTTTGAATTGCGTACGATCTTAAAACAGGCTCCCTGCAGTGGAGAGGCCATTACCAATGATAACTAGACCTATTATACCAGTGAAATTACTTGTGTGTTTCTGTGACGACTTGGAGATGGTAAAATGTGGTTATTTTAAATTGGGTAAAAATAACAAAGAGCCATCTCTAACCACAGCATTTAATTCTGAATTTTATCTACTGATTTTAAGATGACATCCCATAGCCTCGTGCTGCTAACATGCACAGACACACATACAACTATAGATTTTTTTAGCACTACAATATACAGTACTTTACACAGCTTTTTTGATATTATTTTAATTTACTATAAAGTTATCATTGGCTTATCTTGTCCTGTGTCCTCATTCCTGCTGTTCATTAACTGGTGATGCAACACTGACATTTCCCCACTGTAAAAGGATCTCATAATCTTAAAATTGCAAGAGAAAGACGCATAAATACTATATGAGCAGTGTTAAAGGTATATAGAAGGATTTTGTAATTCCGGGTGGATCATCAAGACTATTGGTCCTCCCAAGTGTCACTCAATCTGGTGATAGTGCTCGTCAGATAAAACCAGAGAATGTTGTCCGGGAAAATCCTCCAATACCTTTAAAGTTTAATGACCTAGAAGTGCCTTGTGGTTAAATAATACATGTTTTAAAGCTACTACCAGATCATTTGCATATGAAAACATGTGGCCACCGCAGAAATAACCACAACATAACCACAAAACAAATCTCTAAACCGCAAAAAAATCACAACACAACAAGCCAGCAGGCGTCTCATTCAGACTAGTGTCCAAATCAGCTGATCTATCATTCATTCCCTGGATATGAAGGACCTATGCCCGCGCTGTGCAATGCAAGCAGTAATATATCATCTTAATGTGCAAAATATCAAGTTTTGGTAATTGTATTTGAGAGAAAATATGAGTTAAGTTGAGTGAATCCGCTGTCAACTTTTACCTCCAGCCAGGACCACCAGGCTGGAGGAGCGGGTACGGAGAGTGGAGGAGGCGGTGGGCAATGTCCCCAGCCTTCCCTATGAGCTCCACCGAGAATAGAGCACTTTGCATTGGGTTGAATGAACACGCACGGACGGTACAGGTCCCGGTTAGTCGCCAAGTGGAAGGGTTTACTCACCAGAAGCACCAAAAGCCACATTTTCGCCTCCCTCATCCGAATCCCGTCGCTGTTCCAAGAGGCCATGATGCTTGCCACGTCTGGATACGCATGCGCAAAGGGTTTTCCACGGATTCTCGCATGCGGCGCTGGGGATTGTGGGAAGTGAAGTTTTTTTGCACCAAGCTGGAATCCTGTGTCGGGATTACGTTTGCGGGTTTTGTGTTGGCAAAGAGAACAGTTGGATTGAATATATTTATTTGATGAAGGATATTTTTTTAAGTATTTTCTTTTATTATTATTTTTTTTTTGTTTTATTGATTTATTTTCATGTATTATTTTTTCAATGTATGTTTTATTTATTTTAATTTCGTTTTTATTTTCTATAAAACTTTACATATTTACATCGTCATTATACACATTTTGTTCCCTCAATGCGTGAAAAGCAAAACAAATAAATTATGTCAGGTGCTTTTGGGTTAGGGTTAGTTTTGGACGGGGATCATTCAAAATATGAAAATATGAGACACAATTATAATTTCTGTCACTCACAAAACTCATGCTTGGAGCAACATTTATTTTAGTGATTATGACATTTATATATGATTATTATTGTCACTGCCCCAGATGGTGATGCTCATTGTTCTCCTTCCTTTACCAAAATACACATTTAATATGTATGAAGAACACTATGAAATAAAAGGAAAAATCCAGCATTACTGGGATCAAACTCAAGGGAGAGACCAGAGAGAGTGCCCCAGGGCAGCTGTGGCTACAGTAGTAGTTTATCACCACTGTGTATGGAGTGAGAGCTTGTCCTGAAAAAGCACTATACAAACCGCATGCATTATTATCTATACTATTCTTATTTTTATAATTATACATCCATTGAAGAATAGTGATTTCTAACTGGCACGTTGAGTTTGATCACATAACATAAAAAAGAATAGAGACTATTGAACGGTTTATGGTTCTGGCCTCCTTGTTTTCTCTATGATGAATTCAGTTGGCTAAAGTGCATTTTCACACCTAAAATGTATGAAAAAATATGTGGGGGCCCTGTGCTGAACTTGGGGCTCTATGCAGCTGGTCCGTCTGCTCATTGGGTAGAACCGGCCCTGGCTGTTCTGAGGGATTCTGCTTTATCGCTGGCAGTGAATGAGATGGCCCTAATCTGTCAAAATGAAAACATGTTAAAAAATAAAACATTAAACATGGTCTTTTCCAATACTTCTTTAACTGAAAACAGTAGTTCAGAGATATTCAAATTTCCAAATTACTTTTACAGCCCCTAAATATTGTTAATGTTTTCATTTCGATGTCCCGCCCTCCATCGTTTCACCAATCAGAAAGTCTATGATCCAGGCGCCAGAACTCACCACGTCGAGCTAATCTCACTGGTAAAGTACCATGTGACTCAGAACTAAAAAAGGTCTCGTTATGATTCTCAAATCATTAACGACAAAACAAGGAATAAAACCAGGATTTCTATCTTTGTGAAAAAGGTGTTGGTTATAGATTTGTTGTTGACAAAACTCTTGTCTATTCAGCTGTTATGGTCCCAGCTGGATTCGTCTGCATATCTGGCAACCTCAGTCAGGGAGAGTGGGAGAGGCTGCAGTACCACTTTTGGCCACATTTTTACATACTGCTCCTTTAAGTGGTGGAAAGGAGGAAGGACGCAAAATAAAATACAGAAAAAATAATAATATAATTTAAAAAGAAAACTCAACATAATGTAAAGAAAAACACTTAAAGGACTGACAACAAGCACAGGGGCATTTAACTGGGACACACACATCAGGGCAATCAACACAACAGGAAGTAAAACTCAAAAAGACACCGGAGAACAGACAATTACAAAATTAAACAGAAACTAAAATTGACAACCATGAAAGTTTTTTTGTGTAATTCGTATCCCCATATCGTTTTTTTTAGTTATTTTTCATCAGTTCCTGTTTGGTTTCTTTCTGTGGTGTTTTTTGCTGCTGGATTTGGTGCATATCTGGCAACCTGAGTCAGGGAGAGTGGGAGAGGCTGCAGTACCACTTTTGGCCAGAGTTTTACACACTGCTCCTTTAAAAATAAGAACCATTGAATTATTAGACATTCATCAATGGCTTTCTGTCCGTTCAGTTTTAAAGAGATATGTTACTGTTACTGTACGCAGCTGCAGTGATTTGTTTGGACTGGGCCTGCACTGTAATGAATTAGCCCTGCACTCTGGCTAATTAGCAAATTGGCCTGAGATTGAGTGGTTCCTAATTAACTTTATTTCAAATGGTTCCTTTCAGACAGCGGCATTACAGACGTCCTGCTCCATTTGCTCCTTGACGGTTGATCCGTGAATCTGAAGCAAGAGGGAGTTTTGTGCATTTTGTTTCGTGACAAAGTATGAATGTGTAGAGGGTCTGTTTCATGTCCTCTGGTGCTTCAGCTGTGCGAGTGTAGGGCTGTAGGAAGAGAGAGAGAAGAGAGGAAGAGAGTAGAGAGAGAGAGAGAGAGAGAGAGAGTAGAGAAGAGAGAGAGGGCAGAGAGAGCAGAGAGAGAGCAGAGAGAGAGAGGGAGTGGAGAGAGCAGAGAGAGAGAGTGGAGAGAGTAGAGAGAGAGAGTGGAGAGAGCAGAGAGAGAGAGTGGAGAGAGCAGAGAGAGAGAGTGGAGAGAGTAGAGAGAGAGAGTGGAGAGAGTAGAGAGAGCAGAGGGAGAGCAGAGAGGGAGCAGAGAGAGACCAGAGAGAGAGAGTGGAGAGAGTAGAGAGAGACCAGAGAGAGAGTGGAGAGAGTGGAGAGAGCAGAGAGAGAGAGTGGAGAGAGCAGAGAGAGCAGAGTGAGAGCAGAGAGAGAGAGCAGAGAGAGAGAGTGGAGAGAGCAGAGAGAGCAGAGTGAGAGCAGAGAGAGAGCAGAGAGAGGGCAGAGAGAGCAGTGAGAGCAGATAGAGAGAGCAGAGAGAGAGAGCAGAGAGAGAGAGCAGAGAGAGCAGAGAGAGGGAGAAGAGAGAGACCAGAGAGAGAGCAAATAAAGCAGATAGAGAGAGCAGAGAGAGAGCAGAGAGTACAGAGAAAACAGAGAGAGGGAGCAGAGAGAGAGAAACCAGAGAGAGAGCAGAGAGAGATATCCCTGTTTCCTTCAGCTGTGGGAGTGGAGGATCCAGTGAAACATATAAAATCAAAGTCCAAGTTTACAAGAAGACGAGTGAAGTTGTAAAGCACTGTTCATACACAGGCAACTCCAGCTAGAAAGAAACACTCAGAGAGAGCGAGAGAGACAAAGAGAGACCAGGGAGAAACCATATGAGAAAGAGACCAGAGAGAGAGTAGAGAGAGAGAGAGAGAAACACCAGAGAAACCAGAGCAAAAGACTTCTGCAAAAGGGGGTTAGGTCTGCTTCACCTAACCCTCTTTTCATAACTTGTGACCAGAAAAAGACCAGAGAGAGACAAGAGAGAGACCAGAGAGAGATCAAAGAGAGACCAGAGAGAGACCAGCGAGAAAGACCAGAGAGAAACCATAGAGAGAGAGACCAGAGAGACCAGAGAGAGATCAGAGAGAGACCAGAGAGAGAGACTAGAGAGAGGCCAGAGAGAGACCAGAGAGAGACTAGGGAGAGACTAGGGAGAGATCAGAGAGAGATCAGACAGAGGCCAGCGAGAGACCGGAGAGAGACAAGAGAGAGACCAGAGAGAGAGAAACCAGAAAGAAACCAGAGAGAGACCAGAGAGAGATCAGAGAGAGATCAGACAGACCAGAGAAAGACCGGAGAGAGACCAGAGAGAGACCAGAGAGAGAGACCAGAGAGAGGGGGGCACGGTGGCTGAGTGGATAGCACTCTCGCCTCTCAGCAAGAAGGTCCGGGGTTCGAATCCCGATTGGACCAGGGCCTTTCTGAGTGGAGTTTTGCATGTTCTCCCCGTGTCTGCGTAGGTTTCCTCCGGGTGCTCCGGTTTCTCCTACCACTAAAAATATATACAATAGGCCTGGCATGTGCCTCCTGTACTGGCCCCGCTCCCAAAAATCACAATTGTAAACCGCTTTGGGACTCCGATGTGCAGTGAAAAGGCGGTATATAAATAAAGATTACAAAGAGAGGCCAGAGAGAGAGACCAGAGAGAGACCAGAGAGAGAGACCAGAGAGAGAGACCAGAGAGAGAGACCAGAGAGAGAGACCAGAGAGGGCGCATGTCTGGCTCATCTGCTGAGAGCCATTCACACCTGCATCTGATTCACTTCTCACCTTGGCCTTAAAACTCTGGTTCAGACTCAACTTCTCTGATAGATTTTCCCATGTCCTGAGTCAATGTACCCTGTCTGCGCTTGTACGTTTCGGTTTTTTTTTTTGGTTTTTTTTTTGTTTTTTTTACTTCCAATTTTTCTGGTCTCGTGATCAGATCCAAGCATTCAGTCTGGCTTGGTTTTTGTAAATTAATTTCACTTTTTCACGTCTTGGTCTCTGCTTTTCCGACAGTGCACCTCCGTATCAACAGTTAGTGAGTACTAGACGTGGGCGTATACATTTATTAGGCCCCGCAACTAGTGGTCTCCCAGCGCCTGTGAGAGAGAGGCTATTTATAGACTGTAATAGAATAATAATGAGCCTGATCAGAGTGTTCTGGAGGATCATGGTCTTCATTTCCTTTCCTTATTGTGTCAGAGAAGACAATAGAGAGTAGTGTAATTAAAATGTGTCATATAGTCACACCAGGAACGCCAGGACTCCCAGAGTGACAAAACCAGCAGAACTCCCGGTCGTGTTGATGGCTGTCATTCAAATCGATGAAACAATTTTAGTTTTCCACAAGTTTTTTATTAAAAGTAAGTCATTGAGTATTGATTTAGTGAGGTCTGAGCTGTAAATGGTCAATGTAAGTGGAAAGAGGTACAGCAAAAACTATTTGTCGAAAGGCAATGCTGCAAGTAAACAGTGTGTTGCTATGGTAACTATGGTAACTCTTCTATTGTGGAAATCCTCAATACCTCAACCCAGAGACAGGAGCAGTCATGGACTAGTCTAGGACCAGTCTAGAACCAGTCATGGGCTATTCTAGGACCAGTCTAGAACCAGTCTAGGACTAGGCTAGGACCAGTCTCGGTT